GCAACTTGGCGTTTATCTGATTATTTTGGTTGTGATCCGGCTTTCGGGCTGACTCAACGCCAAATCGCTTCCTTTTTTTCATTAGATGCAAGCATTGTAAGCCCAAGTCAATGGCTTCCTTATGGTTGAAAGTCTTAGGGTGTCACATAATGCTTTAACTAATGTTTACTGTTCAGAGGGGAGGGTAAGTGTCTGAGCTTTTGTTGGGCCCACTTTCAGCATATACAGTGCAGTGCAGGATGAAAGTCCAAGCTGCCGTTAGTTACATAGTTAATCGCGTTAGTTGCGTGTTGGTACTCGCCACCTCAAATTAATGAAGTTTTCACATAGTTTACAGGAATTTGATGGCTCTCTTCATTCATAAATTCTACATCTAGCAGTGCATTGAAGTGTTTAATCAACATGATTATTTGGATTGATCTAAACATTCCGAATTCTGATGGGATAGAATTGAAATTAAGTATATGCGATTCGCCTGACGTAGGAAATGTCTATAGGCCACCTACAGGGTGCTGCGTTTTTGTGCTGCATTACACTAGAAGAACAACCAGCTTCCACGCATCAGACGCTACGTTTGTGCATTGTTTTGGTACGCCACCTTATTGGTTGTTACGCCATGTTAAGTTCAATTGTACATCCAATAATGACTTAACTTTGACTACCATTTGCACTAAATTGTGCCTTGTGATCAGTGTCTGGTCCATAACCATTTGGTGATGTGAATAATTGGGCAGCATAAAACTTCGTACAAAATTATGCCTACGATGGTAGATGACCTATGAACCCATGCTGCCTGTGGGCACCAATAGCATTATTCTGCGCAGAAAAATGAGCGTAAGGTGAGTGTTCACGAAGATTTAATTAATATGAGAGGAAAAAAAAGTTCTATGTAACACACTCGAATACGTAGAGGTCGGCCTCCTTGGTGGACTTGAAGCAGACCTTTAAATCATGAATCTTCACGCTACTTTAAGGACATCACCTGGAGAGAAGACGTAGTGGTACACAAATTTGACTGTGACAACAATGGTGCTGTAAACATCGGCAGCACTACAGTTGAACGCCTCCACTGATCGAATGTATAACAGAGAACTTAAATTATTTGGTCTAATCGCTTAAAAGATTGCATAAGACAATAGCATCGATTTTAGTGAAGAGTGAGAATGAGAAGGCCGAAGAACTCCAAAGGAGGATCGGATGAGTGTTGCAAGACGTTACCTTAGAAGTGGTTAGACTGAAAATGCCCAGGTAACGACCGAACACCATCACAGTCAATAGAGCATACAGCATGTCTGCACATAAGAATTCACCTCAACTGTGCGATTTACTTCCTATCTCCTAAACAAGTCCCCATTCACTGTCCTTCCATTTTCTGAGCAAGTGTAAATTCCCATGGAATGGAAATGCTGAGCAGCGCAGGAGTCGGAAGGATCGCCCTTATATATTCGGATTTTTGCAGCCAACCTCATTTTCAGCACAAATTATCAACTTATCAATTAACCATACAAGTCACAAGAGCACTTAACAATCCCGTAGTGAGAAACGCAATTTGATGCTGATTTAGGCAACAGCGAGGTAAAACTCATCTGGAAGCAATAATAATAAGCAAATGTAAAAAGACGCTGACAATGAAGAACCTATTACCGAGGCTAACAGACTCTGCAAAGATGTGTTCGTAAGTGTCAAGTAATTGTGCAAGTCAGGAACTGAGGCTGATAATAGATAAAAGACTTGCAACATACGGATAAAGGAGAAATGATGACTGACCACAAAAGGTGCTTTAAGTGTCTCCTCTTTGCCAGGAAACGACTTTGCTCTCATTGCTCTTGCTGAAATGTACTCATTATTACTTGGATGGGCAATTAGGATCCTACACGAAAAACGCAGTGCACTTGTAACATCATCTCAGTCCCGAGGTTTCATTTGATACTTCATGCCCAACTCATCAAAGCGCCCAAATCCTTGAGATATTTCCGTCTATGCAAAATTTGTAAATCGAAAATTCAGGCAATCGAGGATCTGAAGCACAGACATCCTCTAAAACAAATAGGAACACGTCTTCGCAAGGAATATTGTCCACAATCTCAAACAACCATAACACTACAGCATTTGTAAATATCTTTTATACTTCCGGCGATTTGGACTGAATAATGAGGATGGTCTCTATAGGTCGGGTAGAGCGAATCATCTCTAATTGTCTGCGTACAGCCAAGTAAGAAAATGAATAACTTTGAGTAATGAAAGTTAAATAGTTTTCGCTATCATTATTACAACTCTATGTCTTATGGCAGGAGTCAGGGAGGCAGATTAAGTAGGCTCATGGATAATAGACATCCTGCAAAAGTCAGTGCAACTACAATCAGCACACCCTTGCATTTAATGCATGCAATAAAACGCAAACATCGGTCGTTCGTCCCAGAGAGTTGACGATCAAAGACGGAAGCATTAAAGCCAAAATGGTAAATTAAAATCGAGTTACATTTTGGATGCGACAACCGAAGTGCATTTGACCTATAGGACATTCTCGTCTTCCTGAATACTCTGATATCGCATACCATGCAGATTACTAAATGAGAATTCAGCCAAATTTTGGCTATTATAAATTTTGCCTCAGATGCTATTACATTTAAATGCGAATCTAATGCAGCAAATAAAATTAACCAAAAAGAGAACCAAAACCGTCAAAAAAAACCAAAAAGGATTACCCCAAAAGCAGTAGACACGAAACAGCTCTTCTCAATACGCCCAAAGCAAATGTTATTCTGTGTGCAAAGCGTCTACTTGAATACGGGCCAAAATAGGTTTCTTTTTCTCCCATGAATGCAATACTCCTAGCTTTTTACACTCATCGCCTGCACCCGTATATCAGCCCATAATGCAAACAGAGAGACAAGTTGGAAACGCACCAGTTTTAATCTCAAGAGCTGTAGTTTATCTAAACAAGAACAAGCAAAACTATTGCAGTGATCAAGTTTTAAAAAATAAATGCATAAATATTTTGCTACTCACAATAAAAAATGCAAATGCAAGAACAAGAACGTGCTAGCCCGATTCGTTGAACATTTGAAACTACCGCATATGTTGTGCAATAGAATTTACCATTGTATTAGCCTTAAGGGTTCTTCCCTTGTTAATATTTGTGATATTATGTAATTTTAGCACACGTTATGTAGCCCAACATTACTAGTACTCAAATTTATCCCTGACGCTTCCTTAGTAGGCAGCTTGTTTACGCTCGTTTTATTTAACTTCACACGAGAGCGGATTCAAGAGCATGGAAGTGATTGTAGTTACTGTCTGCCTACCCTCTGGTTCCTGGTTCTCAGGCTTTAAGAGGAAGTTGGTTGTAGACGATTTATTATGCATCGTTGTTAGGAAGGCTAGGGATTGGGATACAGATGAAGTGAGTAGGAGATATCACTCGGGGGAGGCTCCTCGCCGAATTCACGGGCGTGATCTACGCTCCCAATTGGTCCCAGCCTCTCACCTATAAAAATTCACTTAAACAAGTTAAATATATTACAATGATTGCACCAGAATGGGACGCAAGTGTCAGTCACTCCTCACCTTACGGCGGTTAGTCTAAGCAGCAATTGTAATGCATTAAGCGCTCGGGCATATGTAGCGTCCCGAGACTTCTCATCGGGTAGAAGAAAACATTAAGTAGATCTGAATGCATGCATCCTAGGGAGAGAAAGAGGATCAAGCCTGAGCTTAACCCAAAGGCTAGCCTACGCGTACATGGGCCAGGCGAATAGCAAAGTAACCGCCAGGTAGTCACGTAGACCAAGTATTGCATCAAATGTGTCGGTTTGTTCTGCACCTTTTTCATACATACAACAACTCAAACCATACTCTACTAATCATTGCTCTTCTCGTCTTGAATGCTTGTATGGCATGGGTATTTGGTTTGTGTCTTAACTATCTTTTTATGTTTATCACTCTGCAATTTTAAGGCTTCGTGCATTCGACCACCTGTTTGTCGAGCAGTCACTTAGGTGTCCACTTTCCTTTTGCCGTTTGAGTTGGTTGCTGCACCAGCCCGAAGCCTTAAGCCTTCCTCTTTTCTAGGAATACAAGTACATAGTCGTTCCCGATGCCAACTATCACGAGGTGAGAAGCTGTGGGAAGCTGAAACACTGTTCGGCTCTTCTACTTTAAGAAAAGGTGGTATTTCCCTCCACCTATCTAGTGGTGTTCCTTTCTGTCGAGCATTGATTTTGCTGGCATTATGCAATGAATATTTTCAACTTTTGGTGCAGTATCCTTCATTTGCTATTAACTTTTTTATTCCTTTCGTATTTCGCGGATTTCACTCTGTCTGATATTAGATGTCTTGCCATAATATTGGCAGCACATATCTATCTCACGCACCAAATGGGGGTGTTGTGTCCATAGACCTCCCATTTGGAAATGGATGGCATAAAACAGAACTGAATCCACATATTCAGTAAGAAGCGAAGACGTAACGCTTTAGAGTGTTCCAAAATCCACCCAATCAGTAAGTGCAAGGTGAACATTTAAGTGAACTCCAAACACACAGGCAATTGGATAAACAAAGTATCGCATAGAGCCTCTTACTAAATAAGCCTGGTCTTTAAAGGTATTACGGGCCCATGTGCTACTAGCACCGATATAAGTAGCATGATCACTTTGACTATGACGTTTTCTATGCCTGATGAAGACATAAAGGCACAAGTGACGATGCTACTGAAAGTACAGGAATTATGCAGTCATAGAAGGGGTCTCTTCTATCAATTTTGGAGTAATGATTTTGGGAATCGCTCTGGAGATGACCAGTGGCACCGCGTTATTTTACTTACTGACCAACTGCATAAACTGCCTTTACGTCTAGCGCGTTATTGACACACATGCACACAAGTACACCCCTTTTGCATCCATCCTCCTGTAAACATAAGTTGTAAACATAAGTGACCCAAACATCCGGTGTTAAGTATAAATAAAACGACAAAAGCTTGTGCCACCGCAGTGCCTATATCATGCATACAACCGTCGCATCGGTTGCCTTCATCTGGTTTGGTCTTCTGACCTCCTTCCACTTTGCCACCTGTCAAGATGTTTGTCCCCGCAATTGCGTCTGCTTCAGTCAGTCAGTCGTGTGCCGTCGAGCCACAATGGCAACAATTCCAAGGCTACCAGCATTTTTGGGTGATTCTCAGGGCGGTGCTTTGCAGTACTTTGCTATGACAAACACCAAGCTTTCACGTGTGTTAAATGAATCGTTTGTAGGACTACTTGACATCATGAATATTGACCTGTCTGACAATGAAATTGAGGTCATTGAAGAAGGTGCTTTTCAGAATCTCCCATTATTGGCACACTTACTTCTAAGACAGAATCGATTGGAACAATTGCCTGACAATATCTTTGACACCTTGCCTAGTTTAGAAGAGCTTGATCTCTCATTTAATCACCTTACCAACATTCCACCATCTTTGCAACGATTAGTTGCGCTGAAGAGTCTCAGTTTGCGGGGTAACCCTCTCCACTGTGGCTGTGGAATAGTAGATTTCGCCCAACTACTTCCTTATTGGGAGAGCTCACTGGATCGAGCAACGTGCCAAACTCCACTCGAAGTGGCTGGAAGGTCAATCAGGGAGTTGGGACGCCGATACCTTCAAGCATTTGAAGGAACTCGCCATTTAGGCTACTGGCCAGATGAGTACGTCTTCCCCGAAGAAGTCAACCGGAAGAGGTTAATTCGAACATCCACACCATGGCCACTGCCGCACTGTCTGGTTAAAGATCTCGGTGGAGTTGTCGATGCTGTAGAAACCTCAGTGGAAGCATATGAATCACCACAAATTGTGGATCCTCCAATACCTGTCATGGCTGCTGAAGGTGAAAGAGTCTTCTTCTCATGTCAGGCTATCGGTGAACCCAAGCCAAAGATTAGTTGGATGTTGCCAACAAACGACACTCAGTACGTTCGTCTATGGGACAAACGAAGAGTAAGAAATCCGCCTCTGATTGTAATTTAATTCGGTAGCTATTTAAATGCCTACCTACTCTTTAAATCGCACTGTTCAATTCGCTGAGTCCTCTTCAGGCAGGCCTTGGACATCCAAATTGCCCATTGATGTCAGTAGTCATTGGCAATGGACATCGAGGGTTGAAACAGGCATTTTCCAGCCCTGTCCCCGTGTATCATCGCTTAATCTAATGCTAACTTCTAAAACACCGTCTGTCGCATATTGCCATGCATACACAATCGCTACTGTGTGTGAATGGCATTCTGACAGGTGGCACCTAGACCGAATAGTGTTGACATTCAATTTGTGTATCAGAGCCTAGAACAAGTATTTATCTTGGCTATTGTAATTTATAATCAAAGCGTTAAGCCTCCTCGCCTTGACTTTGACACATCGCAAAAAAATTTAAAAAAGTAGTGAAGATTCGCTTTGCTATTTGAAAATGGTCTCTAATCTCAGCTCTTGTTGATTTGAAAAGATTTTAGAGTTACGAGAGGTCCATGCCTTCCACGCAGGTACGTACACTTGCATCGCAGAGAATGAGGCAGGGCAAGTCAGTCATTCGGTGGTGCTTCAAATTGTGGATATTGTTAAGCCACAAATCACAGATGCGCCCTCCACGCAGGCGACAAGCGGTGTGCTTGGAGGTGATATCGAGCTTACGTGTACGGCACGTGGACGTCCAAGACCCACCGTTGACTGGCTCTATACACACACGTCTTCTGCTAAACGTCTATCCACTCAGGATCGTTATACTGTGCGCAGCTCCACCAAACTTTCGACTCATACCATTCAAGACCTAATTTATCGCGATCCGTCTGCACAAACCGATGAAAGTCTCCGATTTGAAGGAGAAGAGGAATCTGTCACTTTGACCATCCGTAATGTCACACAACTTGACACAGAAGGTCGCTACACCTGCTACGCTGCAAATCGTGCTGGCTCAACACGTGTCACCTCTCTGGTCACCTTGGTGAAGATGCCAAGCATGGGCGGTGACAATGGTGGTGAGGGCAAGGATGAAACTGGGCACAAGAGCGAGGAAAGTGACGACTTAGAAGTCTCACCTAAGGAATCAGATGAGGATCTTGTGAAATGGGTGATTGAAAAGGCTAGACGAAGAATTGATGCAGCAATTCAGAAAACTGCCGACAATCTTCGTGATCCAAAAAATCGCAGAACGGCTTCAGATATTGCCTCTCTCTTTCGACAGCCTAACAAGGCGGCAATAGAATTGGCCAGGGCTGCTGAAGTCTATGAAGCTGCGATTGATGAAGTGACACAAATTTTACAACAACAAAGGAATCAGTCTTTCGGAAAGGACACTGAAGGTCCGTATCGCAGTGATGTAGACTTTGATGCTCAAAAGCGACAGGCAATGGGAGTGCAGTTGACAGCCGAACAGCTTGCAATTATTGCTCAACTCTCGGGTTGTGCACAATCCCAACGCGTAGAACCGTGTGATCGTCAACTCTGCTTCCATATGCGATACAGATCCATTGATGGCAGTTGCAACAATCTCAAGTATCCCAAATGGGGTGCAGCTCTTTCCCCTTTCTATCGCCTATTGCCTCCAGTCTACGAGAATGGAGTAAATCAACCTGTTGGATGGAATCCTGAGAAACTCTACTTTGGCTATCCCAAGCCCTCAGCTAGACTCGTGTCTTACCGTCTACTGGCTGATGCCACCAAGCTGCAGGCCCATACACGGAAGTAAGTTATTTGTATACGTTAACAATAGCCTGGAAACAGCCTTGGCACAGAAAAAAAGAGTAAACAATTACATGGGCTAGGGACTGAATGAGGACAGGATGGATGGAATGGTGGACAGAAGAGGTACGAAAGTAGGATGGATAAAGTGGACAACCAAGGACTTGATCAAGTGATTTTGGAGACGTTAAAACTGAAAAAGCGAGAAGAGGATGAATGTATAAACAGTTCCATTAAAACGATTTTTTAGACTAGAAACATTCAACCAACGCATAAAGATGTCACTGAGGTTTGACAACCGGAGTCATGACACGTCGAGTCCATTTGACTTTCCTCTGTACGAGAAGGAGACGTTGTTTGATGAGGACGACACATCCTCGGGCATGCTCATGCAATGGGGCCAATTCTTGGATCACGATCTCGACTTTACCCCTGTGGACGCCTCGACTAGTCGCTTTAGCGACGGTCTTGGGTGTAATGAGACTTGCATCAACGATCCCCCTTGCTTCCCAATCATTACACCGCCGGGAGATCCGCGTATCCGTCAACGATGCATGGGGTTTGCGCGCAGTTCTGCTACCTGTGGTTCCGGTTCCACCTCCATCTTATTGGGACGACCGCAGCACCGAGAGCAGCTTAATCAGATCAGTGCCTACCTCGACGCTTCCAATGTTTATGGAAGTGAGGAATTCGAGAATTCTCAACTTCGTGACACACTTTACGATGAGGGTCACCTAAGAGGGGGCATACCTACTCCTGCAGGGAAGCAACTCCTCCCCTTCAATATCCGTGGTCAGGTAACTACCTCGGGTTGCAATATTTTTTTCCGCCTCGTTGATGCGTGAAAAGTTTTAAATGAGAAATAGTCGACAGGCCCTTGGAAGGTAGGATAGGTCTTGGCAAGTAGTCAACACGCCTTCATTCCCCCTTCTGTTGGTAGTTTACGCATATTATCACGTGATCCCCTAAGTCTCGACAAACCAAGATGGGAGTCACCACGTGGAGAGAAGTGCGAACATTCTCATTGGTTAATTATCGGTGGCGTTATGCGTGTTATATGAGGCAAAGAAACAAATAACACGCTGATTTACCCTACTAACACTAGCTCATTTGGGATAACACTCTAAAACCCCAAAGAAAAGAGGCGCGATTAATCATACAAGCATTATTCATTAATTCTGGTATCAAGTGTACTTAACTAGTCTTTACCTACAAAGTAGCTTCTAGTGGCCTTTATACAAGAGCGAAGATATGTGGACAGATGTGGCAGCATAATGTGATTGCACTGGGCTAATTAAGTATTCAGCCATAAGTCATCTACTATGAAGTTCATGCAATTAACCGAGGTTTAAGCCATTCCTTAATGTTATTTAAAAAATTTCCGCACTGATGCACACTTCATGAAAATTGGTTACATTTAACGGCTAAATTTGGTCATTTTTGCGATTGCTGGTTAAATCTTCTCCGAATATTCAACAGTGCATTCTGAGAAAAGAATCAACACAATCATGACCTTATTAAGTTTGACTCTTTGGAGGATGAGATTGGAATCGTAGGGAACGCGTACCTACCCTCTTGCCCTTGAACCGTGGATTTCAAGGGAAGGTTAGCTGCAGTAGATTTATCAGGCATTGAATAAAGGAAGAACAACGACAGGAGTACAGGTGAGCTGAATAATATATATCAACCGGAGAAATATCCACTAAGGTGCTCACACATTAAATTCACGTTAAAATTCGCTCCCTGCCTCTCCCTATAGAGGTCAACTTAAACATACACATCATGAACATAGTCAAAATTGCGTGCCGACTGATAGGAGTTCAGGTATTGCCTATTCACGGAAATTGCCTCAGAATTAATAACGTTTTATTCCATCATTTGTATAGTATTTTTAATGTTTCTACAGCTGCAATTAGTTTTAGATATGTAACATTCCTGCTATCAGATTAAGTTGATTTTTTAGTATTCATAAGGTTAGGTTATCTATTTTAAAACAGTACTTTCAGTGTGGTGTATGGCTACCCAAAAATTGTCTACCTTATGCAAGTAAAAATACTTAAATCACTCATGCTTATTAGCTTTATACAATTCTATTATGCATATTTATGTTGGCAACTGCTTCTTCATCGCTTTTCTTAATGTCCACCATATTCAATGGCCTTGTCGAAGTGTTAGCTTCCGAAATCGTTTAAACTCGGGTTCCTTGTTGGTAATCTTTCTTAAACCTGCTGTTCCCTTGTGGACTGTCTCTCTTCACGCTGCTTTAGTTCCAATAAGTCACTTTCAAGCAAAAGAGTTGTACTCAAACTTCAGTTAAATTTCTCATTTCTTGCAAATATTCCGCCCAGTCATTGAGTAAAGTTTACCGTTTTTTAAAGTTTTGCGCACAAAAAAATGAAAGCAACTGGGAAGAACGCCAATATAATCGCATTACATGCGTCTATAATACCGTGCCAACTCAAAGAATTTTTTAACAAGCATAATTCAAATAGTAGATCTGCGTTGTTTTCACGGAGGCTCTATTACGTAATACCTCGAGCCAGCCCTATTTTTGTCCACTTTATTGCCTTAGACAACATTAGAATGTTGCTAAGGTGTTTAAAGGGGCATTTGTCTTCTACCTCGTTGTCGAGTTTACATGCTGGTTTATTTATTACTTCGGTTGGACGAGTAGCATAACGATCCCTAAAAATGGCCATCGTTAAGAGTCAGGAAATATGACAAAATCCATTTTACCAGCTTCTAGGTGACGAGTCGATTCTTAGTCTTCTTCTTTACATACTCAGGATATGGTAGACTATGGATAAGACTCGAACGAAACCTTTCTGGTGCTCAAAACCCTCAGTGATGTTTATGGTATTTACCATTTTCGTCAATTAGAAGCAATTCTTTTTTTGGGGTCCTACCTGGTTTTATAAAATATTCAGACAATTCTATGTGCTGGGTTCTCGATGGTTTTCACAACTTCACTATACTAAGAAGTCATTGAAACCCTATCCTTAACAGTGCAACTCATCAAGCGCGCGGCGCCTAATATTTACGCTTGTCTATATGGTAAATGCCTGTAACATAGTGACACCACTATCCTTTTGCTTTTATAAAATCGGTGTTTCTATTAAATCAAATCATTTACGAAATTGTCAAGACAAACTTTAGTGCGGCTGCACACATCGAAGCCTTTTGATTTAGTTCCGGTTAAGGATAGGTGATCTAAAGATGCCAGTAATTTTCTGCACGTTTTCCTCCGCGATTGACGTCTCCAAACCTCCTCTGGCAGTAAAACTTTCTAAGCGTCACACAAACACTTGTTAATAAGCCTGTTCAGCTCACGTTTGCTTCTTACAAACACCAGTTTAAGAATTGGGTTTTACGCTGATGGCTCAATAAACTGTGTTAGTTGAGAGAACGATTTATTGTCGTGCCCAAAAAAAGGTATGAGAAGCGACGGATCACGTTGTCAAATAGAAGTACAAACTATGAAGAGGGAAGGCAACCGTGCTAGGGCGCATTCGTTTAGGCAGGATTTACACACTTTGCGTGTTCACAGGTATGACTTCCGAGGTTGTGTTCAAGTTGCAACAACATTTAGAATAGTGTAACTACGGGCATGTGGTGGCCCCTACAGCATTAACGCTACTCAAGTTACCAGAAGGCGGACCATACTACTTATATGAAAAAAGTAGGACACGTGCTTTTATTGCTTTGAGTGAATCTTACGAGAGTGAAGTAAAACACGCGTTTTGCCTGGTTTTTAGGTGGATTGTCAAGCAGACCCACAACAAGATTTTGTTCCATGCTTCAAAGCTGGTGATCATCGGAGTAATGAAAATCTCGGGTTGTTATCTATGCACACTATTTGGATGCGAGAGCACAATCGCATTGCTGACGAATTGCGCTCGCTTAACCCTCATTGGTCGGGTGACAGACTATATTACGAAGCAAGAAAGATAGTTGGAGCCTTAATGCAATCCATTACCTATCGTGTCTGGCTCCCAAAAGTCTTGGGTCCACGTGGAATGGAGATGATGGGAGGTGAAACCTACCCTGGTTATGACAGCTCTGTCAATCCAACAATCAGTAATGAATTTGCCACCGCAGCCTTCCGCTTTGGCCACACTATGGTGCCTCCTATTTCTTTTCGTCTAAATGAGAATTGGGAGACCATTCCAGAAGGTCACTTGCTACTACACAAAGCGTTCTTTGCTCCTGACAAATTGCTAACTGATGGTGGAATGGATCCGGTGCTTCGTGGTCTACTATTCCACGGTGTTCGCGACATCATTCGAAGACCTTCACTAAATCCTGAATTAACTGAACGTCTCTTCGCTATGGCACACCAATTGGCTCTTGATTTGGCTTCCTTGAATATTCAACGTGGACGTGATCATGGCCTTCAGCACTACACTAGTTATGCCTACACGATTTGTAATCTTGGAAGCTCTGCAGCGCCTGATTCATTCGACGATCTTGCTGACAGAATTCGGGATCCAGCAACTAGGGAAAAGTTGCGTGCTGTTTACGGTCATCCTGGAAACATTGATCTTTTCGTTGGTGGTGTCTTGGAAGACGTCTTACCTGGTGCAAGAATGGGTCCTACATTTGCCTGTATTATAGCTGATCAGTTCAAACGACTTCGGGCCGGAGATCGGCTTTGGTATGAATCCCCAGGTCTTTTCACCACTGCACAACTCGCGGAAATTCGTGACGCGGGTAGTTATTTATCCCGAGTTATATGTGAAAATGGTGACAATATCACCGAAGTACCTCTAGATGCCTTTTTAAGACCGAAGAGCCGAAAAGACTTGGTTCCTTGCTCTCAAGTACCCAAGCTTAATCTTGTCCTCTGGAAGGAATGTCCATCCCCTAGTGGTACTCCATTCGGTTCATACAGCGATATTGGCGTCTACTTTGACCAACCCTTGAACAGGCGTCGTAGAAGTGTACCACCTGAGGCCTCCTGTGAAGCTCAGTCACCAAACGCATTGAGTTTCATGGATGAAGTAGAGAAGGAGTTAGAGGCTCGAATGAAATTGCGGGAGCATCAAGTGAAACGCGATAGACGCTAATCTTAGTACCATCAAAAAGCTATTTAGGTGATGCAAATACTAAAGTTCTTGATTTGACTTGTCGTCTTTTGTCCTATGCTTTTGTTGCATGGGTATGGGCCAAATTGTGCGGACAATGACATTCTCGTATCTCAATTACTTTTGAGGTAAAGTCGCTTCTAGACTAGGAGTGGAGATAAATATGCAAATTCTGAATGGTTAAATAGATGGGCGGTTAGATGGACGGAAGGAGAGGTTGAAGGATGAATGAGTAAATGAATGGCCACGGTGAGTGGATGGAAACACACAGGATGAATGAATAAAATGAATGAATTGCTGTGTGCATCAGAAGGGACAAACGCACACTAAAAGGTTTCAAAATGGATGGCTGTACTGAGAGCTAAATTTGGTGAAAAAAAATGGATGAATGATATCAGAATAAATGGAGAAGTTGAATGAGCTCAATGCATGAAAGGACGCAGGCCTCGAACAGAAGGGTGGACCTTTGGAAAGGTTGAACTCATGACGCCACCGTCTTAGCAGGTGGTCCGAAAATCTGGTAGATAGTCTTGTTAGGTGACAATTACTGAATAAAAATCGAACAAACATTCCACAGTGTAAAGCCCTCCCAACACATCCCATCAACTGTGATTCTAAGCCTTGCTATTGGCTACCGACTTTGCTATTGTCAACACTTCCATGATGAATGTGTGTAGTTAACACTTCAAAGGTCCTCCTATTCATGTCATCTTAGTAATGGCATAAATAAGTTATTAGCCATGTGTAAAAGTGTTACAGTCATCCTTTTTCTCCTGACCAATCAATGAAGTTATGCTTCCCCCTGTTTCTTCAATACAAAATTGTTACACATAATCTTCTTTCCTACCTTATAGCAATTACTTACATCGAGTCATGTCACAACCACCTTGTGTAAATGCAATATAGTGCAATTTTGAAAGGTGTACAGTTGACGTAATGATGGGATTGAAGGGGACAGCTTTTGCACTCTATCAGTGGGTACAGGCAGTTCAAAGAGAAGAGCAGCATCGTCTCAACACATCTTAAAGCCATACATTTTTGAGTGGTAAAAAGCTCCCCTCGAAGAGAGTGAGGAATTTTTTACATTTGAGAGGACTTTTAAAGAAGCAGACAGGTCTGGTTGATGCAAGCCATAAAATATACACCTTCGTTACTTTTCTCAAAAGTTTAAATAAATTTTAGATCTACCGAAAGAGAGGGCAAAGGGCGAGATGATGTGGCTGTAGTGAATATCATAAAACCTCTTTTTTTCCCATAATTGATCCGTGTACAAGCGATCGAAATATGGAGGAGGCGGAGGAGGAGGAGGAGGAAAAGGCGTTTCTTTAATCTTTGTTAGAAAAACCGACTAGTAAGGGAGAATTTTCTCACGAAACCTAATTACTGCGCAGGTGTAAATTTATGGCTGTTTACAGCCATACTTCCAGTGTGAACACCAAACCAACAGTGAGGATAAGTAAACGGAAAAAAGGTAAACTGTCCCCTTTTTCCCATTCTTTGAAGACAATTAAGTCGTAATTTGACCACTCCTTATTGCGTTCCATTGACAATGCTCTGTCTTTGCCATAGCCTTCTCTTTCAATGGATATTTTATGCTTTATCGTTCACACCGTTGCAAATTAACCATTAAGACACTTTGGAGAGAGAGTGAGAGGAGACCACAAAAAGCTCTCCACCCAATTTTACCTTCTTTGTTAAAGTTGTGGGCACAGAATAGGCAAGTTTATTTTTTTCTCCATTTTATGGTGGTGTCTCTTCTTACTACTGAAAAAAATAGTACTGATAAAAAGGAAAGTGTGTGTCAAGCATGTGGCACTATGTTAAGCCAAATCCACCCTTCTGAGGTCTTCAAGGCATTACTGATGCAATTGGGGTAATTAAGGACTTATAGAATCGTTTAGACGGACACGCATACACACACGCAAAAACACCTGTTCTGGAAGGTCTTGTAAACGATATAAAGTTTCCAATCCTGTTGCCGCCAGTCCTGACCTTATTGCGCCCCTTTCTCCCACTCGCCTTGGTTCTCCGGATTGCCCGATTCTACCTCCACCCTACATTTCATCAATAAAGGCAACGGCCAAGAGAGAGGGCGAGAGTCTGCCAGGTGGATTGGAATGGTGAGAGAGAGAGATGTCCAGAAGGCGAGATTAAAGGTCCCGCCACCAGTGTACAACATGCCTACTGACCTGGCTATAAATTATTTTCTCTTCTTGCTGGGTCAGTGCCTGTGATGATATCAACCTAGTTAGTGCGTAGCTCATCCCTATCCTACACCATGAATATTGCCTGCTGTGACCTAAGGTTACTTCAAGGTTTTCGTATGCCCCCCTAAAGCTTCTTCCGATTTAACAGATGCGAGTTCTTTTATCCACCTTGTAGGGCTCCTGAATTTAAGGAGAAAGTCATGAAGAGGTACGCAGCAATTGCATATATTGAATAACTCTGAGAAAAATCTCGAATCCCTTAACAGATGCACGTGTGTGTGTGTGGATGGGTGTTGGTGATTTTACATAGCTGGAAAACGTCAAGAAGTCGACGATTAGCTTTCACTACGCACAACCTTCACAGCTCAGACTGCCCTCCTGACAAGTGAGACCGGTGGTAACAAGGCCGGAAGAGACACTGCTTGTGGCTGAGGACGCCATTTCCTGTTCGTAGAATGCACCATTCTGGTGACGCACCGGTTGAAGGTGTTGACTAGGCGGTCGTCCATAGGTTAAGGTGGACCATGCAGGACCAGTATCAAACCCTGTTGATAGCCACGTTGACCTGGATTCCGAAAGGCGATACCAGGATCGTGGACTCATTGTTGAATAGTGCTGTAATTGAGGCTGTTCGGTGACTGTACTGATGACAGTGTTGGCGGCACTGCTGGGGGCGTCAACCTCGTAGGCCTCCTCGGAGGCACGCAACGAAGTCTCAAACTCCCTATACGGTGGCGGTGTCAAATATGGCTGAATCATGGAGGGATCTAAACCCTTCTCTTGAAGTTGACGTTTTAATTTATAGCGTCGGTTTTGAAACCAAATTTTCACCTGTTTAAATTTTAAAAGAAAACACGTGAGAGAGGGTAGGCGAAGGCTTGATGCATCACCCAAAATACAGGATAAAGTGAGATGAGAGGGTAGAGCTGCAGGCAAGGTTAGATGAGGTGTTAGGAGGGCGAAAGGATCAGAGGCAAGCCAAAGGGTAATGCTATTTGCCTACAGGTTGACCTAACAGTGAGTAATAAAAAAATTGCCTTCCATGGGTAGTTTTCGTGACTGGACGTCTGGATAACATTTAACATCTACCTAATTAATGTCACTCCGTTCAACTACTGGGAGATACTATTACTACTACTACTACTACTAATAATAATAATAATAGTAATAACAACAATAATAATAATAACTACACCACAGTTTTGGCACTTAATTGTGTCAAAGAGAACCTTTAAAGTGCCTCCATTGGTGTTGTCACGGGATTTGGGTTCACCAAAGGGGGACCAAAGGGTATGTGCCACACATTCCACGTCATTAATGCAGTTAATAAATTATGCATTGGCAGTACCAGTTTCGGTGTCTTCCTCTATCTCTCTCTCTCTCTTCCAACACCTCATGTAGGAGAGAATTTAAAAGTGCTCCCTGATATCCTCCCTCTCTTGCCACTTTCCCTTCCACCCTCCACCGACAGATTGGAAGAAACAAGAAATAGGGGGAAGAAGGTCTTCAATACGACTGCATTATTCTGCTTTCGAACCCCATAAAGGGTGTGTTTGATGGTGAAAGGGTGTTTACCCTCCTTCGTTGATAAAAATCGTGTACTTTCTAGTTGGAAAATGGTGGATGCCTTATTGGATTGTAAGGACAAATACATAGCGGAATGAAACGATATGATGGTAACACCTGTTGAATGAGCTATTGAAAACACTCCCCCTTCGTCCTCGCGGTCTGTTCCTCGCATAGAAGTAGCACAACCGAGCAGTCATGCGTTTATCCAAACGCTTACACATGTGTTTAATCATGCGGTATGGACTAATGTCAAGCGATCATCCACCTGCTGCATCTCTGACCCAAGGAATGACACTCCCTTTCATATGATTAATTCCGACAGTCTGCGACTGGAGTCTTCTCGCTTCCACCTTCTAACATGGATTTGGCTATCGACTACGCATGTGTCAAAGTTGTTAATCATTTGAACGCCCTGAATGCGCATCTCATTGACATATCGGTTGACAGGAGGAGGGATGAATTGTTGATGCAAGTCAAGACCACACACGAATTTACAGATTGGCCGATTTTACCCTTGCATTCTGTCAATCAGTTGGACAGACAGACAGACAGGTAGGTGGGCTGATAGTGGGGATAGATGGAAAGGAAGAAAGGGAGGGGGAGATGAGGGAGGACAAAATGTCACTGACATGAATGGGACTTTGGCGATGCTAGGAATAGTGTCCACACTTCCATGGTATAATAACAAATTGCCAGGAGACATTCTACCACCGTTCAGGAAGCTTTTGGTCTAGTCACACACACCCACACACACACACACCGCAAGAGACAGAGACGGACAGGCGAGGAGACCGACAGTTGAAAATTTCGTTTTGTTTAACTAAAGTCAAACAGATGACCAATTTGAAAGAGTAAATAGATTTGAAATCGGAAATATTTGTTCGCAAATAAACCGGTACACTTGACATTCCCATGTGTGAGTAGTGGCGATGGTGGTGGTGATGGAATGCGCGAAGGAGCCTTTGTGGAGTGTCAATAAATGCAAAGGTCGTGTATTCAACCAACCACCCAACCGCCTTCCTCATACAGGTTTGATTACCTTTGAGTCGCCCTCCCTCTCCACCTCCTAATTTTTTTTAGGCCGTTTTCATCGCACTTGAACCAGTTACTCCATCTTTCGGGTCAGTTTATTTATTTATTTTTTTTTTGCATGACTCCAAAACTAGTTGGCGGCATTGTTCTGGCATTAAAACAGGCCCATTGCAAAAAGTTGGTGCTTGGCATGAACACTAACCTGTTGTGAAGACATCTTTAATTGTAGTGCCAATTGCTCTCTATCCGGAGCTGAGAGATAGCGTTGCTGGTTAAAACGCTTCTCCAATTCGTAAACTTGAGTTTGGGAAAAGAGGATACGAGGTTTCCGCTTTGAAGTTGAACGAAGAGGAGTGTGTGGAGCGGTGGACTTGCGACGTTGTTGGGCTAGACCTCCATTGCCTGTTGAAGAAGCATCTTTCGGCTCAGGATTTGCCTCCTCTTCCTCCGCCACCGCTTCCTCCTCTTCATCGTTTTCGTGTTCCTCCTTCACATCGCCTTCGTCATCTTCGTCTTCCTCCTCCTCGTCGTCAATCGTAGCCTCTCCTCTGCGGTAATTGTAGACCGGTTGAACAGTGGGCAAGTAGCGAACCTCTAAATGGAAAGTGTAGCGTCCATAACTGGAAGGTGATGAACAATTGTAAAATAACGCAATATGAACTTGTAAAAGCACTGAAAGTATATCGAAGAGGGGCTTAGAAATCGCCTTTTGAATTCTCTTGCCATCCTCTGCCACACTGTGGTTGCAAATGCCTGCACTCCATAAAAGTGCATCCTTAAAGAATTTACTTATCAAATCACCGAAATTGTGGAACAAATGTGTCAAAGTTTGGAGGGATTAGTTGAAAATAGGGGCGAATGCTTGCGCCGTTCTAAGGGGAAAAGTGGAAATTGGAATGCGAGGAAAGGTGTAGGATGGAGAGAATAGAAGAAATGAAAAGGTCCAAGACAATCGTTGACAAGTAAATGCCTCTGAACCTCTCCATTACATAATGAAATACAAAGGTAATTAAATCTCCACTTTATTCCCTTCCGGGTCAACACACCAAGTTTTTAACCTAGCTACATTGGCTTCAATTTGAAAAATGAGGTATCTGAGTTAAATACAAATAGCCGACCTTGTTTACTTTCGTTTGTGGTGACGAATGAAGGAGTTTCGCGTTCGTTAAGAGCATCACCATTAATCCCACTAGTACTGTCAAGCATGGAATGGTAGCCTGGAGAGGAGACGGCCGGTGCCCAGAATTGCGTCTGTGGTTGGTGAAAATGATGCTGTGGTTGTTGTGAGGCGTAGGCAACATGATCAGTGGTGGAGAACCAGTCACACCGACCGTAGTAATTCATGGTTAGGGAGTGGTTTAACACTACATCCTACTGTGCTATTTATACGGCCACGAGAACTGGTCGAAGGCGCCCATTGGCCAGCCTTGCCTCCCCTACCGTGTGCGTGCAATGCGTGTAGGTGTGTGCATGCACACAGGCCCGCATTATGTGTATATATACGGCCAAGTAACTATCTAAGTAGTCGCCATAACACTCATAATTCCTCTTAGCGTCGCCTTCTT